TATTAATTTTCTAAATTTTTTAGGGGCCCTGCGGGCCAGAAAGAATGGCCTGGCAGGCCACATATGGCCCACGGGCTGCATTTTGCCCACCCCGGCCCATGTCCTTAGACAAACTTGGCTACAACCTACATCCCTAAAACTGAGAGTTGGCATTTTCTGAGGAGTGCCTTGAGTCTAAAAAGGTTGAGAACCATTGGTCTACACACTTAAATTGCACTGTATAGACTTGATGAAAGGGGAAGGGGTGCTATTTTACAGTATGTTGGGTGGAGAATTTATAGCCCTCGAGCTCAGTGATTCTCAACCTTTTTTTTTTGCATACTTAACATTGCTAACATTGCGTGTCACCCTGTTGTATCTATTGTGTTAGAAATCTTTGAAAATCCACCCTGTTCATGCTACCAGTGGGGAATATAGTTGATTTACAGAAAAGTATAGATTCTGGCATCATCTTAATTTACCAAGACACCCTTTCCTATTCTGTTAACATTCTGCTTTTCCTTCCTCTGTCACTTGTCTGTCTATTCCTGTTAGCTTCTTAGAAAGAAGAACATAATTCCTATCCTGTCTGGAAAAAACAAAAAAGAGAAGTAATGAACAGACAAACTACAGCATGTTCAAAAATCATTAATTGCTACTTAACTTAAACAAAAGAAGTAATATATACAATAATTTTTTGTGTTTAAAAATGAAAATTTCAGAGCACAAATAATGTAGGATTGGACTAATAATGCTGACCTCCTAATTATATTATGACAGTTGTATTTATAGGTGGGAATTCAGTGTAATCCTTTAAAGAACTATCTTTTATTTCTAAAAGTAGCAGGCAGCTGCAAGAGTCAATATAGTCTTTTATTTTATTTTTTTTGTATTTTCCTCAGCAATGCCATCTCTGTGAAGAACAGAGAAACTATATTCTGTTCTTAAAGATGTGGTTAAATAAGGTTGAATCATTTGTGAATACTAATTAGGATATTTAAAATAGATTATGTGTTCATTATACTCAAAACAGAAGAGAAACAAAAACATTTGTTGGCTCTTCTTAAAATTCATTAAAAGAAAACAACACTTCTGTTAGTTTGTCAAAGTTAAAATGCAATAGGAAGAACAGCTATGTTTAGGAAAGCAATATAATGCTACATTTCTGGCATCTCTTTAGTGTATAGTTAAGGTGGACTCTATATATTAATCCATTTAGCCTATACAG